CCCCAAAACCCCAAAACCCCAAAACCCCAAAACCCCAAAACCCCATAAGGGAGAAGAATAATTGATAAATAAAAATTTTGATAGTAAGTTATATCTTTTAAAATGGAATACTCAGCAAGAAACGTTAAGAACTTCAAAAATCAGAAGAATATAAATCAAATTAAAGACTCCAGAGTGAAAAATAAGCTGTTTAAAAGGATTAAACCTCTCTCTACAAAGCTCCCACTTGTTCAAAAACTGGAAAATACTATGATTGAGGATAGATGACTTTCTCCCAGGTAATAATTACTAGCCTAAATATGAGTACCTAAGCAAAATAATAAATCACTTATAGACCTCTCCAACAACGTCAGATTCAGAGCCCAAATCAGACATTCACCAAGCACAGAAAGAAATTGAGTAAGTACTAGATGGGAGAAAGTTAGAGATGATAAAAACATGTCTATATGAATAAAAACTATACCATATGAGGTTTTTATCAATAGAAGGTTAATGTCCCAAGTTGACATTACCATATAATATTCTTTCCTAATAAACATGACTGGACTATATGTTCCATGATTACCCAGTGCTTAACTATTTTAGAATGCATCATTTATATCCAGTTTCTTTTATGTCTTCAAATATTCCTGGTGTTATAAAGGCTTACTTTAGACTTTTGAGAAATTACGAAAGCCAATATGAATATTTAGATTTCTAAAATTGCTTATGCATATTCACCAAAGTATTTTTGTAATAAGAGAGGAGCTTCGAAGCTTCAAAAATAGTCAATCTAAATCCTGAGGTTAGATTCCGTCTAAGTATGCATTTTATAACCAAATTGAAATATTACTATTCAATCCCTCCACTGTCAAGCGAGTTTTGGAGTTTATCAAATTTAGTAATTTATACAAAAATTACTACCAAAATTTCTTCTCAAAAATTATAACTGGTGACTTATTTACGATTTATAAGCAAATTTGATATTTTCAATTTTACAGTATGGACCACAAATTGGCAATGCCAGTCATTAGTACTGAGTCATCCAGATTTTATTCGGTATGAGAAAGCTGGAGTTTCAAATTGTTAAAATAAGAATACACAATTTGGTGAACCTTCGATTAAACTATAATGTCTTGGCAATATGGTTTACATTAATTAAGAGTTTTCACCTATAACCGAAAATTACATTTTATAGGTATTAAAGAGGCAAGCAGGCTTTTAGTATACATCACAAGAAAATGAGAGCAAAAGGTCACTCAGCGATATAGATTTTCAGGGGCCTCTCCTTTGAGATCTAAGCAGGCCAAACTGAAAATTAACAATGGAGGTAATATCACTTTAGAGAGACTTTGAAGAATTATTTAGATTAATTATTATATGAGATATGCGTTTTAATTATTAGTTACTTCATATATCTTTCTTAAATGCTCTGGATTGGAAAATTAGGAAAGCATTTGATAGCTCAAGCCCATGGTACAGCCGGAATGAAAAGTAGAAAGAACTCTGCTCCTATCTGCTTAGGACTCAAAATTTCCGGCTTTTAACTCCAGCTATACCATCACTAACATCAGAAATATTGATATAGATTTTTGAGTGTTTGTGATGAAATATCTGGATTGGAAAGCTATAAAGTTTTAGTCCTAAGCAGGTAGGAGAAGAGTTCTTTCTACTCTTCTCTCTGGCTGCACCATGATCTTGAGCTACCAAATGCCTTTCTCTTCTTCGAGTAACAAAATATTGGAAAAGTATTTGATGTAGCCAGTGCATCTCTAATCCCTTAATAGTTCGATTTAGTCGTTTTTATATGATCAGGAGTGGTAGTTGTATTTAAAACAAAGACTTACAATTTTTATGTGACAGACCTGTTGTAATCGAAAAGCATAGTGTTAATAAAAACTCTTTGAATTGATTATTCCAGTTTTTCTTAATAGTTTTAAAAAATTGTAATTTATGTTATAATTTAGCAATAAAATACACCGTTTTGGAAATTATAATTAGAGGTTTAAAAATATTTTAGTGCTAATATTAGGATTATAAGTTTTATATGAAATCCAGAAAATCTCTAGTCCTAATTTGAGATAAGAAGCATAATGGTGAAGGAAGAGCGAAAATAGTTTTAATTTCAGAATTTTTCAATGGTCAAGCATTCACCAAATTTTTTATTCCCTTCTTAATAAGCCTGCTTTAGAGATTTAAACGAGTTTTTGTCTTACCAAACTGCCATATTTACACTTGAGACACTCTAATTCATTCACTAACCTGGTTACAGATCTATCCACTACAAGACCTGCACTCTCCCCAACTTGTGAAAGAAATTTCAAACCTCTTCAAACTCTCAACTCATTGTGCAAAAGAAAGTTAGCTCCTAGTGAAAGAGAAACTAACGAAGGAGATCCAAGACTGAAAATATTCAAAATTTATACAGGTCTTAATTGGGAGAAATCAAGGATATCAAGAGAAAATCAAGAGCGTAGAAGAACTTTGATGAGCTTGTAGGAAGTTACAAAGATAAGGAATATGTTGTTCTAAGAAGGTTATTAGTCTAAATGTTGATTTATAAATACTCAGATTGGTAAAGTTCGTGTTTCAAACCAATAATTGGACCTCCATTACCTTTTCAATATAGTTACTACATTTGGGGTTTTGGGGTTTTGGGGTTTTGGGG